ACACGTTGGGAAGAGAATCCAGACCAAGGCTCTCTGGGCTTCCCCAGGCTGGCACGTGACAAATGAACAACCTTTGCAAAGGTGACAATAAAGCGGCCAGGCCACCAACCGTAACCCAGAGTCTGAGGTAGACAAGGCCTCCCGTCCATGGGGCTGGGCTGTGTGTGGGTACGGCGTGAGGTCTGCATGCAGGAGACCCTGGGTCCTTCTGTATCTTGGCAGTGCAAGTGAGTGACTGTGATGCCCCTTCCTGTCTGTTCTCCAGCTGCGGCTGCCCCACAGCTGGAGTCCTGACCTGCACCTCTGCTACTGACCTCCCTGGGACAAAACACCTATCGGTCGTGCTTACACAGGCCCCTCTGCGGCCCCCAAGTCTCCACCCACGCGCACTGTCCAGCCACGGACAGCTCTGCCGAGGTGAGAACCAGGGGTGCGGATCCCACCCTCTATACCTGGGCTCAGCCCTCAGCTCAGCTGTTCACCCTAGTCCTTTACCTCTGGAAAACAGCAAGGGAAGATGGCCCTGGAGTCACTTTTCAAAGGCAAGGGCCCCCATCCTGGGTGGGGCACAGCCTGAGCACAGCGGGGCCTGCCAGCGGGCTCCCAGTGATCTCCCATGGAGAATGGAAGCAAGCTGGTCCTTTGATTCCTGATGGGACACAGAGGCAACCTGGACGCCAGCCACCCAGCAGCCTGGGAGGGTCACACAGGGTCCCAAGGGCTTGACACACATAGCAAAGGGATCTGTGAGCCTGAAATCAGGAACCAGAAACCAAACCCGGCCAAGAGGCTGTCCACGGGGAAAGAAGAGGGATGAGGACTTCAGAGCTGGAGCCTGGGTGGGCAGCAGGGGTGGACTCGAGAGCAAACACGAGAGACAAGGGTGAGAGAGCGGAGAGGCTGCACAGAGGCAGATGATGCACCAGCACCGCCTGCCACCGCTGTCCTCCAGCACAGGAAGGTGCACCCCAGCTCCACAGTCCCCTCTGCTGGGACCATCCTCCCCGGTTTCCAGCTGGCACAGCTTCTCCCCTGACAACAGTGGTCACGGGAACGACCAGGTGGTGGCATCAATGTCTTATCCAGGTGGCCACAATTCCTGTGACAGGGACCCCAAGGAGAGGTCGATCCGGACGCAGGATGAAAACATGACCAGGAGGACGGAACAGACGGAACAAAGACAGAACATGAGCCCCACGTGTGCACAGGTTTGCAATGCGGGCCCTGCTTGGGGGAAAACGCCACAGGACACATGCTGACCGCAGCTGGGTGCCTGGACCACCACTGCTCGACCGCGCCTCCAAGAGCAGCCCCACTGCCCACAGCAGCCTGCATCTCAGGATGAAAACGCCGGCTCGCCTGGGGGCTCCTGATCCCTGAATGACCGCCAGTCTCTTCCCTTCCAGTGCCCCAGTGTTGGCCCCTCTCTCCAGGCTCTGCTATCCCTGGCCCCAGCTCATTCACCTCTTCAATGTTTTCCTGCCTCCCCCTTGCTCTGTTCTGGCCTTCCTCAGTGCCACAGTCAGCGTTCGACTGACAGAACCAATCTTCAGCTCAGGGACCCCCATGGTGACAGCCACTTCTGATCAGATCAAAGTTGACTGAGATCAGCCTCTGTCTACCTCCTGGGCCCATCCTCTCCACACTTCTGCAGGTATGAAGCAACCCCAGGGCCTTTGTACTGGCTGTCCTTTCCAGCTATCCACTGTCTTGCTCAACCTCAAAGGTCACCTGTCCACAAGACTGCCCCTGACAGCCCTGTCCAAAAGCTGCCCCTCTCCATTCTACAGTCACAGTTCCTTTCTTGGCTTAGTTTTCTTCTGAACATTTCTTATCATCTACCATACTCCATCATCTGCCAATCTTGATTATGACTGAATTTCTCCCACCCGGAACACACGAATCATGAGGGATATATTCATTTATTTATTTTGTGGTCTATCACTTCTGTGTTCTTAAGCTGGCTCTGGGTGCCAAGCACACTGTAGGCCCTCAGCAGAGTATCTGACTGAATGAAACAAAATGCTGACTTTACAGCCCAAGAATCAACGATCACCTGCAGCACTGGTGACCAGTCCAGCTCTGATGTCACAGCCCCGGAGCAGAGGTGGTAAAAACAGAAAAGCCCTGGGGCACTCGATGGGGGAACTCTGCATGGTGAAGTTTTAAATCCCAACCTGTGGAGCCGCGAGAGAGGTAAATAAGCAGGAGAAGCCCTGAGTCATACTGAGATTGCAGAGAGGGGATTTAAATTCAAGAGCTGACCCCAGAGGCCGGGGTGCAGAAGGCCTCAAGGGAACACCTAGGTGACCCAGAGGCAACTTCCCTAGGAAGTAATGACCTCCCTCTCCCCAGGACTGGGGACAGGAAAGGAAGAGGTGGGCGTGTCTAGGCCAGCAGAGATCAAGATTGCAAGAGCAGACAGCAGGACAGGAGCAAGACAGCACCCTAAGGCAGGGGAATAAATGTCCCTGCAGAGACGTCACCAGTGTGTGTGTGTCAGGAGAGGAGGTGAGATCCTCTCCAGGCAGACTTCTCACTGTCAGCACAGTACACTTGCACCCCTTTATCTGCTCATAGATTCAAAGATGCAAGGCAGGCCTGAGGCTTCCACCCCTTAGGGGTGCAGTGAGACACCAAAGCGGGCTGCCAGCCTGCTATCCACCTAAGCTCAGAGCCCAGACTTCCCCACAAAGCTTTCGAGTGGAACCAGAGACCAAGTTCAACCCAGAGCAGAAATTTTAAAAACAAAGGAGAAGGCGGCCTCTGGTTGCGTTTGTATTACTGCTTGCAAAGCCCGGAAGTCTTTTCTATGCAAATAGTAACTCTGCATGGAAATGAGGTAGAATGTTCTCTGTTACTAGGCATGCTTTGCTTATCAAATGATTTCCTTTGACTTAAAAAGATCCCAGGAAGAAGGGTTTCCCTGGCATTGCACAGCAAAATCCAGGTGGTTCTGGGGAAAGGTCACCTGGCCTGCAAACGCAGGCCAAGAACAGAATGGAGACAGGACCTGAGGTCAGCCTGCTCTGATGAGGACCCCCCTCACCCAGCACGACTCTCCAGGGGCTGAGTCACCTGCCCCATCGCAGGCTGTCACCACGTCCTACAGGTGGTCACTGGTCCTATCCTGTCCCCTACACGCCAGCCAGGTCACCACAGCTTCTGAGCCCCATTTCTGATTTGTGTTTCCCTCTAGATACCCAAAGGCAGCTATCATCTCCCCTCCTCTTCTCCCCCTCAATAAATCACTGCTTCCTGAACTTTTCTTGGCTTTTCCAGGGGGCTCGGTGTGTTCACACGCAGCCCAGCCCTGGTCGCACCCACGCAAGAGAAACTGAGCTCGGATGGGTACAAGGCGAGGCACATGCCTCTTCCCTCTCCTGTGGCCCTCCAGAGAAGGTAATCTCTCCTGCACCTCCACGCACACCCACTCCACATCTAGAGCAGCTGCATGAAGATGATGCTGGCTGCAAAGACAACAGGCACTTGTGGAGGCTTTCCACTACCAGGCTCTGCCATGCCCTTTAACCCTGCAAAGACACAGGCAACAGGTACTATGTCACAGGCCAGAAGTTGGATTCCAGCCAGCCTGCCTCCGGACACGGCAAAACTCAGACGCTGGTCAGAGGGAGACTCGGGAAGTCTCCTTTATAGCCTGCCTTGTTCCAGAAAAAAGTCACTGAATGAATGAACTATTCCCACATTATGCTTTCCTGATTTGGGGATTTATTGGTTGAATTAAAAAAAAACAACCTGGGAGGCCAAAGCAAGCGGAACACAAGTTTGAGCCCAGCATGAGCAACTTAGCAAGTTAGTAAGATCCTGTCTCAAAATAAAAATGAAAATAAATAAGGGGGTGTGACTCAGAGCAGAAGCTTTGGTTCAATCCCCATTACTGCAAGCAATAATAAATGTAACAAATAGCTTCCATGCATGAAATAATACCCAACTGCTCTGTGTGTCAAGGTATACAGCTTCAGAGAGAGAGAGAGAGAGAGAGAGACTGGGGTGGATGTCCACACTCAGGCCTGGGCACCCTCCGGCTCTGGGAGCCTTTCCGACAATGACCCTGCCAGGCTAGGTCCTGAGAACTGAGAGTTAGCCACAGACCTCAGGCAGCCGTGCAGGCGGGTCCGCCCCGCAGCCCTGCACCTGGGTCGCTCATAGATGATTACAAGGAGCAAAGGTTGCAGCAGGTCAAGCGTCCCGTACGCTAGGGGCCTCTAATCAGCTCTACTCTTCCTGCCTCCACCCCCATTCTCCCAGACTCAGCTTCTGCTCCCAGTCCGCGTCCCTCTCCTCTTCAATCTCCTCTTCAAGCCCAAGTCCCCCGTTGGGAGAGAGAAGCCACTGCAGTTTCTGAAAACAAGTCTTGGCCAAGCGCGAGCAGTCACAAGGCCGGGGAGGAGGCAGCCACAGCTAATCAAGGCCGAATGCGGGCCATCCCTAGGGTGGGGACGTTGGCGGGCACGAGGACTGCTGCGTGGCACCTCGCGTTCAAACTCAGCTGTGGGGGGGGGGGCCGAGGTGGGCGCGTCAGGCCCTGAGGAGTGGAGATGGGCGGAGACTGCTGCTGGATCCCAACTAAGACGCCCAGTAACTGCTCCCAGACGCGTCCCTACGCATCCGCCGCGGTGGCTGCCACTCAGGCCAGGGCTGGGGCCGAGGCTAGGCTGCCCCCTCGCCAAAGTGCGCCTTCCTTGTAAGTGGCTTGGCCTTAGTGGCATCCAGAACGGGCCCCTCCCACCGCCTAGCCTATTTCCACTCCGAGTGCGGAGTGCGTCCTGGAGGGGGCTCTGCGCCCAGCTTGTGTCTGCCGGGCACTATCCCTTCGGCGCCCTTCTTTTGAAAGCGTCTCCTGCCCTTGGATAGACAAGTCAGAGGGGAAGCACGCACTGGCAGTTCAAGGGGCCCTTTCCCATCCATCTCGGGGTCATCGGGAGCTGGCTCACCCTGCCCAAGCCCCACGCCTACCGCGTGCGCCCCCCGGCCCGCACCTTGCCGCAGAGGTCCGCGCGCCAGCTCTGGCCGGTCCTCGGGGAAAGCGTCACGCAGCCGTTGCCACAGGCGGCCCAGGTCAGCGAGGCTGCGGTGCAGGTAGAGCACGCTGCGGTCCGACCACTCGGTGCGGATCTCGAAGAACTCCTCCTCGTCGCCGCGCCGGCTGACGATGAGCCTGCGGATGCCGTTCACCCAGCAGCCGCGCACGAACATGTTCACCAGCGACGTGCCCTCAAACACCGCCGAGGCCATGCCGCGGGCCACGCATGCCCCCGCCGCCGGGGGGCGCCCTCGCCCCGCCGCCGCTGCTGCCGCCCTCAAGAGGAAGACGCGGGCCCAGAGCGCAGGAGACAGGGGCCGGGGCCAGGGTCAGGCACGGGCCGGAGTCCTTCGGGGGCCCGCCTCGGGCCGGGCTCTGTCCGGGGCCGGCTTTGTCTCAGGTCTGTCCAGAGCCCGGATCTGTTCGGAACCGGGTCTGTTCCAGGTCTGTCCGGGGTCTGTCCCAAGCCGGGGTCTGTCCCAAGCCGGGGTCTGTCCCAAGCCGAGATCTGTCCAGTGAACGTGTCTGTCCGGAGCCGGTTCTGTCCCAGGTCTGTCCGGTGAACGGGTCTGTCCGGAGCCCGTTCTGTCCCAAGTTTGCCCGGGGTCTGTCCCAAGCCCGGGTCTGTCCGGAGCTGGCTCTGTCCCGGGGTCTGTCCCAAGCCCGGGTCTGTCCGCAGCCGGCTCTGTCCCGCTCTGTGCCGAGCCCGGCCCGTCCGGGTCCCGGCGGCAGTGTGCGCAGCGCTCGGGGCGGCGCTGGAGACTCGGCCTGGCGGGCGGCCGTGCGCGGCTTTATAAGGCGCTTCCCAGAGCAGACGTCGGGCCCGGCCGGGCTGGGCCGCGGCCGCCGCCCCCGCGGAGGGGTGGCCTGGCCCGCGCGCCACGCACCCCGCCCGCCTCCCCGGAGCCCGCGTGGCCGGGACCCGGGCGCGCGCCCCGCCGCCCCGCACGCGGGCCGGGAAGCAGGGGGCGGGGCGGGGCGCAGGGAGGCGCCTTCTCGCAGTCGCTTTCTGGGGCCTCCGGACGCGTGGGTCCCGGGAGCTGCGCGCCCCCACCCGGCCCGCGAAGGACGCGGAAGCTGCGCGAGGTGGGGACGAGGCCGGGCTGCGTCCCCGAGTGCGCGCCGCCCCCGTGGGCCCCGGCCCGGCCCGGCCCCAGGCCGCCCCGCCCCGCGGCCTCCCGCGCATTCCGGTTGTCCCTGAGCGGAGCCGAGCCAAGGCCCGGATGCGGCGGGACGGAGGCCAGAGGGCCGGAAGGCTGTCCCGGGGGCGGGGGTAGGAGGGATACCCCGGCTGGCCAGTCGAGGGGCGCCCTCCCAAATAGAGCTTGGATCAAAACTGGGAAAGGGGTCTCCTGAGAAGGCGTCCAAGCGAGGCTGGCGCCTGCGGACTTTGAAAACGGAGCCGGGAAAACCGTCCACGCTGAGCGCGCGCACTGCCGTGCCACTCGGGCAGCTCCTGATCGCGCGGCAGGGTCCGCGATGACTCGGTGACTCGGAAGTCAGTTCCGGGCCTGAGTTGGGCGGGATGGGGCAGCAAGAGAGCCCCGCAGCCTTCTCAGAGCTCTGGGTCTCCAAAGCCTGGGTCTGTCTATGCAGAAACATCAAGGGCGGCAGGTGGCGGGGTCACCAGACTGACGTGGGCCCATGAGTGCCACCCCCATATCCACACCCCACCGCCCAGGCTTTAATCGACTGCTCTGGTGACTTGAGAATTCGGTATCCTCAAAGTTCACCATCTGGATCTACCTGGTGGTTTTTCGCCCTTCCCCTTTACCTGGCGAGATGGGAGGAAAGGGTGTTTTCCACAATCTGGTACTGCCCCGCCCCCCCCCCCCACACACACACATCATGGTGGGGATACATGTTGGGTGACAAGAGGGTTCAACCCTGTAAGGAAATGAGGCCTGTAGACCTGGGCAGGGCTAGCTCAGCCCTGCTGGACCACCTCCCCTCACCCGCATGCGCACGTGCGCGCTCTCTCTCTCTCGCGCACACACACACACACACACACACACACACACACACACACTCGCAGGACCTCCAGAGTCACCTTTTTTGAACCCTGTGTATCAGGTGCCTTCCTAGCAGCACCTGGTCTTCATTCCGGTTGCCACGAGGCCTGATGTCAGCAGGCGGCCCCACTGTGTGCCCGGCATTCTTGGTCACTGAAGAGTGTTTCCCTACCAGTAATACTCTGTGCTTAAAACAAGCCAGAGCTAGTGACAACTAGACGGCCCCGGAAAAACGTGATAAATCACTGACGTGTAAGCACCATGGACTGCCCTACTTTGTACACAGCCGTAGGAAATGCATCAATTTAAGTATTGGCAGATTTCAGAGGCAAAATGTCAGTGAAAACAGCAGATTATATGTATATATACATAACAAAACATATATGTGTATGTATATATGACAGTAGTAAATTGGGAAAGAGACAAGTTCACGCGTTTTGATCCTTTTGGGGGGAGCTGAATAAGATGGGACAGTGTCAGGAAGGATTTTTGCTTTTGCTTTAATGTTCTTAATTTTTTAAATTAAACAAAAGCACTTATTGCTATATAATTCTGTAAGGGATTCAGGCGGGGTACATGGCTGGAAATAGCCAGTATGCAAACAGTGTTTGACCCGGGGTCATGAGAGTATTTTCTTTTAGTATCTTTGCGTTACTTGGATATTTTTTAACAATGAGCATGGTGATGATGGTGATGATGTTTGATGATAAAAGATTCTGAAATAAGTACAAGTTGCGTATCTTTTATCCAAAGCGCTTGGATCCCAGAGGTATTTCAGATTTTAGAGTTTTTTTTGGATTTTGGAAAATTTGCATAGACTTTACCAGAACACCCTTATTCTAAAAAGTCTGAAATCCAAATTGCCCCTGGTGCTGGAACTTTTGGAGCATCATCTCAATTTAAATGGAGAATTTAAAACCAAAATAAAATGGCCTTGATGTGGGTTGGGGAGCAGAAAGTGTGCTGCGGGCGCCTTTGAGGACCTGAGTTATGCAAACATCAGTAACAGATACGGGTGAGGCGGAGTGGTTTCGGGTTATAAATCAAGCTGACGAGCTAGTTCAGTGCCTAGGCCTACATAATAGAATGTGAAAGCTGAGAACAGACAGGCGCTCTAGGGTCACCTGTCCCACATGCAGCACGGTTTAGAATAACAAGGCTGTACCTGAGGAGGAGTCCTGGTTGTAGGTAAGAGCTCCGGAAACCAGATCCTTCCACCACACACATAAGAGTAAATAATGAGAATAAAGGACTTCATGAAATTCAAGGTGCTGCTTTGGAGAGGCTGCTTGGGGTTCTGTTATCTTCTGTTATTTTCTTTTATTTTGCATGTTTTGTTTGGTCTGGTTTTGAGCTCTGTCTCCCTACCTTTTAAAGTTAGGAGAAAGGCAACGTAGAGGTTGGGGTCATTCCCAAGGACCCTGTCTGTGAGCCACGCGTGTGACATGTGATGGGACAGTAGCAGCTTGGTGCTGGTGGATTCTGCAGAGTAAGATCGAGGCCTCTACCCACAGCCCACGCCTGACCACTGAGGGCTGCTGGCCTTGCCCCTGGGTTCCACCGCCTGCAACCATCTCGTCCTACTGCACCCCACTGTGCAGAGCTGGAGCCAAGAACGACCTTCGTTCATCTCTTCCCTCACTGGGGCAAGTTTGGAGGCTTGCAGGATGGAGAAACTCCTCAGAGGAGCACCGAGATACACTGACTTTCACCCCACTTGTTTTGATCCGGTGGGCAGCGTGCAAAGCACAGATTGTCTGTTTTGCTCCAAAACAAACAGCAGCGAAAACCTCGCTGTGACTGTTGTAAAGTTTTGCAGGCACACTGACTGATCTGATCCTTATAGCCACCCAAGGGAACGGGGAGGGAAAAACCATGGCTCCTTGGCAGCTAAGGAAATGGAAGGCTGCAAAGAGCGTCTGGAGTGGTCCTGAGTGGAGGGCCAGTCCTCAACAGGGCCCTCCAAGGCCCTGCTTGATGCTGACCCCGAAGTCCCACTGCTTTCCCGTGCCTAGGTCCCAGCACACTGTGCTCCTGCACTGCCCCACGCACCAGGCACCCTCCCACCCAGAGCCACACACAGGTCTGCAGGGCCTCAGCGTAGAATGGCTTTCCTGGACTATTGATTTCCGCTCTTCCCTCAGACCTGCTCTTCTCAAACCGGAACGGGCCCACCAGGCCCCTGGGACTGCCTTGGAAAACAGATTGTGATGACATGGGGTGGAGGGGCACCCAGCTTTGGGTTTCTGACACTATCCGAGCAATAGCATCATCCATCTACAGGCTGCTCTGAGTCTCAGTGCTGATCCTGGCTGAAAGCTCACTTGATCCCTAAGTGTCAGGAGGTACCAGGATTTGATCTCTCTGAGCTGCTTTGTGTTCATCATGAAGGGCCCACAAGGTTTTCCTGGCTCAGCTGTCACTTTCAAGGGGAGAGGACTTCCGCTGTCTCATTCATGTGTGTGTGTCCAGGATGTGGCGCTGGGCCCCTGGCGAGGGCATTCATGAAAGTCAGTGCTGTGCTTGATGTGGGTCAGAGGCCCAGGACTGATGGCCACGAGACAATGCTGGTCTTCCTAGAGAGGCAGAGGCACCCCTTTTTGCCCCCTATAATGGAATATTTGGGAAAATTTCACAGTCCACCATCAACTCCAGACCCAAACTCCAAGCAGATGACCATCTTACAAGGGGACAGACCAGATGTTCATTCTGTTTCTCTCTCAAGGGTGGGATTATAGCTTATTCCTTTCCTTCAGGCCCTTTTATGTCTTCCAAATGGAACACAGTGAGCCCGCATCACTGCGATAACTGGAAATTTGAAAGCTTGTCGAGGGAAAGTCTTTGATTGACATGGTCGCTTCTCTTCTATCCTTGCAGATGGTCAGCTCACCATGCAGCTATGGTTCATCACTTGTGCTTGCTCAGCTACTGTGTTAGGCAGCTTTCTAACACTGGGACAAAATCCTTGAGACAGATCAACTTGAAGGAAGAAGCTTTCTTTTGGCGTTCAGTCCATGGTTACTTGGTCTCATGGTTACTTGGGCCTGTGGTGAAGCAGGACACGATGGTGATGCTTGTGCTAGAGGAAGCCTCTGCCTCACAGAGCTGTGGAAGCAAGAGGGAGGAGAAAAGGGTGGGTCCCAGTACTTCACCACCAAGGACACGCCTTCAGTTCCCTAACTTCCTCCCCCTGGGCTGCGTCTATTAAAGATTCCACCTCCCCCCAAAGACACCACTGGCTGGTGACCAAGCCTTTAGCATATGAATCTTCAGGAGACGATTGAGATCCAAACCAAAGCAACTACTAAATGAGGCTGGGTTGTAGAGGAGCACCAGCTCTCCACCGTGTGGATTCTCCATGGCTACATCTTTTCTGTCTCAGTTTTGCGACTGCCAAGGCAAAGCAACCCCAGCTGTGTTGTCAGCTTATTTCTGCACATGCCTGCCATCTTGCCTATTGTCTCATGATGTCCCTTTTCTGGGGATAGAAACGCTTAACCTAAGGCATAGCTTTGTCCTCTACAGGCTGTAGTACAGTCTACATCATTGTTCTTAAACATGGAAACTCCATGAAAACTCTATGACTGTTTTATGACTATCAGTATTAGTCACAGCACCAAATAATCCCACTATGGGACACTGGAATTTCATACTCTTTCTATACTGGCATCCCGGTAAA